GCCACGGCCATAAGGGACCGCCTGATCACGCCGAACAGCCAGCGGAGTATTTTCGCTTTTGGGGAGTCAAGCGGCTTTGCAAGGCCADAGTAAATTTCCCACTAGAACCAGGCMAGGTACTCCATTCGCACAGTAAATATGAAAGCAGAAAGAACGAAAAATAWAAGTAAACAGAAATCAATGAATCTACCCCCGMATCATGGGTAGGTTCATTCCCACGATTTGACCCTCCTTTTATCGATCAATTCCCTTCCTGCAGAGTTCTTTCTTGCTTTCATCCCCTCYTTTAYTCCTTCCATCGATAGGACGAGCAAAATCAGAATGATTCTACCCTTAGTATGCGGGTAGGTTCATTCTATATCTAACCTKCCATTTCCCCGGGCGCAGCCTATGTTCCACATGACGCAAAATCTACACCTGCTCCCCCAAATATGACTTCCCTATCCTGCTCGCAGCTCCCCCAAACCCCCATATAGACGCTTTGGCCCTTCAAATCTGCTCAAAAGTGAGCGAGGTAAGATCACTCCCTCTTTCTTCTTCCATAGCTCTACGCAGCCTATCTCCCATCTAACTCCTAACTCCTAACTCGCTAACCCATTACAAAAGCTAACGATGGAATCCGTCTCGCCTTGTCCCAAAACCGCTAGATCGACTCTCCTCTCGCTCGGTTTCGCTAGGAAACGAGCGAGATAGTTGATTTTTACTTTCGGCCATATCCACCTCCGAGCACCTCCGCGCACTGTATTTCCCTACTAACTTTTATTCTACTAACTCTTTCACCAATCTAACTACATATTTGGATTCGCTTACCTGAAAAACACTAATCTACTATCTTCTTTCACTCGATTYCATTAAGAATCGAGTGAAATCTCGACTTTTCACTCCTTACCTTCTCTCCTCCCCGCCATAGCTCCGCGCATCAATCTCTCTACTAACCTCTATTTCTCTGACTTGTTTCCTAAAACTAACATCATAGACTGGTTCGCCCAATCCTTAAACCCCTACCCAGTATCTTTCCCCGCTCGTTTCTATTAGGAAACGAGCATACTATAGCCCCTGCCATAACCCCCTTTCCTTGAATGAATCCGGCGCAAAAACGCGCCCGGATTCATCCCCCCCTTCTCACTTCTTCCCTGCTGCCTGCCTGCGTCCGTCCCAGCGCCCGTCTCACACCGGCTGCTTCGCCTGCCCCGTAGTCGGCCTGTCTCGGCCAGCGCAGTTCCCGATATCGCAGCAGCCCGGTCGTCGCCCCACAGTCATAGCGCCTGTCCCTCTCCGCTGCTGTCGGGTCGTCCTTGGCTCCCCGCTACTCCGACATTCCCGTCCTCCAACGATGCCTGCACCTGGCGCAAAAAGCGTCCAGGTCATTTTCGTCTTCCCGTTCCTTCCCGTAGGTCGACCCCCGCTCCGTTCGAGCGGTACTAGACTGCGGGCCAGCCAGGACACCGCCACAGCGTCACCCACCGGTCTGCGCCGTCTCCGAGGGGGACTGCGAATGAACCCAACTACTCGACGACTCGATYAGTCTTCGCCCCTATACCCAAGTYCGACGAGCGGTGAGCCCGCCCGGTAACTTTGCCAACCSGCAACCGCCTCCTCCAGGCCGCCTTTTCCCCGACAGAGCTCGTCGCCACTTCGGACCTCCAATAGCCAGCCCCCACCGGGACGGTCGGTCACCGCACAGCCTACTGCAATCCTTGCACGGCCTTGGTGAACCCGACCCAGTCCAATTTTTGACGATAGCCGGCATGTTCCCTCGCGGGAGGCTTGGGCACGAGTATCGCTACTACGGGGTAGCTCCGGCGCAGCCGCAAAAAATGGCCTATAGTCTCCCTTCCGGCCGTCCTGCGAACTAAACACATCCTCACGCGACCCCACCAGACCCAGGGGTCGTGGGTCACACACATTCAGCATTTCGGCCCCTCCGCTTCAAGTGCAATTACAAACTCGGACCTTGACCACGTCGTGGTTTTCCCTGCTACGGCGTGGAAAGAGGACTTGTGTCGGCACCCCGACCACGCGGCCTTTGTCAAGCGAGGCACACCTTCAAGGCCCTCGACTGTCGCGATAACCATCAGATCCGGCGTCTCGTCCAGGTCCACGGCACGC